CAGCTCCGTGAGTTTGCCTTTTCCAGTTCAAACCTGGGCTTCTGCAGTGCTTTTACTTTCTTAACAAAGACATCATGAAGATGATATTAAGAGATGCACAAGCCTTTTCTTTGCCATTAGTAATGCTGTCTGGAATCAATTTCCTGACTACTTGTTTCAAGTCATTTGTCTGCATCCCTCTGGTCATGATCTCTCATCTTCTTCCGGGTCTGGCAGACTTCTTCCTGGTGCAGAGGACACCAGGCCTTTCCTATCTGACTGCTGCAGTTGCAAATCAAAGCAACACAGAGCAGATGAAACAAATAACCATCGCAGTCTTGCAGCAATGTGAGCTTCAATCATTGCTTGCCGTTTTTACTATGGAGCACACATTTTGTCTGTAGCCAGACCCAGGCTGTGGAAGTTAGGCAGTTTTTGCCGTAAGCACCCTTAGTCATTAGCTTAATTTTTCTAAATGCAGCTTCATCATTCTGCTGCTCAGCAAGGCTCACTTCAGACACACAGCCCTTGAAGAAGCCAGATGCGATTTTGGTTCCTTGAATCCTTGTGACTAGTTTTTTTTTCCAGTCTTTCTTATATTGAACGTAGCTGGGACTTCCAGGTTATACTAATTTTCCTCAGCATGCACTGAGCACTTTCATCTGAGCTCCCCTTTTGCTGTCTCTTATAAAGCACTTGTTCCTGCCAACCACTGTGGTGCTGCTCAGAGATTTTAAAAGGTAGGAAACACAACTCTCATTCTCAATAATTTAGACCTATGGGGCCAGTGCAGAAGGGATGCAAGTGTAAATAGCATGGCAGAGATCTCACTAAAAAGGAGATAGTTAGTGAAAGTGAAAGGCTTTGAGCCAAGGAGCTATGTGTTTTGACTTATTTTTGAGCATTACCAATCTAGATGTTGGAAATAAACTGAAAGAGGCAAGAGAATAACAGGAAAACTCGAACAACCCAAGTGAGAGATGATGGAGGTGAAATTGTGTCCGGTGCTATGAACTCATTTGAAACAGCGTATTTTTTATTCTCTTACAGCTCTGGAAGCCAGATGTATGTAATAGGTTTCACTGGACCAAAACCTAGTGTTAGCAGTGCTCTGCTCCTTTCAAAGGCTCTTGAGAATCTGCGTACTTGACTTCTCTAGATTTGTAGAGCTGCATGTCTCATATTCTTTTACTGATGGCCCCTTCCTCCATCCTCAAGGCCCGCAGTGCAGCATCTTCAAATCACTTTCTGCTCCATCTTTACATCATCTTCATTCCTTTGTGTCAAACTTCCCTCTGCCTTCCTCTTGAAGGCACACTCATTGTTACATCAGGGCCTTCCCAGATCACTAGGATGATCTTAAGATCCTCAGTCACATCTGCAAAGTCTTTTGCCATAAGGGACCGGTCACAAGTTGTAGGGCTTTGGACCTGGGATTCTTTGGAGGTCATTATCCAGCCTACCAGAGGAGCTTCAACTAGGGTAGACATGGGAAATGATGAAAGGCTTACATTTGTTTTGAAGATGGAGTTAATCGTGTTACATGGTGGGCTGAATGTAGGATGTGAGAAGAGAGAAAGAAAGAAACATGCCAAGGCATTTGCTTGGAGCCAGTAAAAGATATGGGGGGAAAAAAAAGACTATGGGGAAAAGCACTTTTTGGGGGGAAGGATGTTTGTCTGTCTATGTTAGGAGGTCCAGAGTCTCATAAATATATTAAGTTTGAGATGAGTAAAGTTTGAGATGTCTTAAACATTTTAAGAAGGCAGCTAGTGTATGAGTTCAGGAAATGTCTATGCTAGAAATATTGATTAGAGAGCCATTAGTGTATCTTTAAAGTTTTGAAATGGAATGAAATCATTAGAGGTGTGAATGTAAACAGAAAGGAGATCCAAGGATTGAGGTCTAGTGGAGTTCAGTGATTCACGGTCAGACAGAAAAGGAGGAATCAGCAGAGCGAGACCGAAAAGAAGAGCACAGAGGTAGAGGACGAACAGAAGAGGCTGCCAACGGGAGCCTTGGTGAAGAGAGAGAGAAGCGGGGTGGGGTGGAGAGCTAAGCTACTGCAGAACTGGAGTAACAATGGGACCGAGGACACACTTCACCACCGCTACACCTGGTGCCTCTCCCCACCCTCACGTCCTCCAGCATGAAAATGAAGCCACTGCCCTGGTGTCTGGGCAGAGTTAGGGAGGCCGTTCTGTCTCTGGCCCGAAGCATTGCAGAGATGCTGCTGAAGCTATGGCTCTTGTCTCCAGGCCTCTGTCTCCCTCACCCGATTGGTGATTCCCAGGGACAAGTCTGTCACCTGTGTGGGGAAAAGAGAAATATCTCGGGCAGCAAAGTCTCTGTCTGCCTGCTGATTGGCTCAGTGGAGAGCAGGTGCTGAGTGGAGAGCAGTAACTGCACAGATGTCACCCAAGGGCAACGCCCCCATGAGGGCTGACTGCTGCTCTGAGCCATCTACAGTGCGAACACTCGCATTAAATAGCCTCCTTATTACATGCATCCTATGCAAAACATCCATCATGCTTTCAGAATGGGCTGGAAGGCTGATCCTACACTATGCAGCCTATGCCGAACTATCTCAAAATATCTGCATAGCCAGGCAGTTTAGGAATCTTCATGTACACTTGCTTAAATGAATTCTGTTTTTCTCCCCTTCCTCCCTTGCTCCCCTCCTTCCTTCTCTTTTCTACCTCTTTCTCCACCATTCCAGTTTCTTCAGTTTTAATTCACAGCGCTGGCTCTCAAACTTGGTTGCATGTTAGAATTGTTCGAAGAATTTTTGAAAACACTGATGTCTGGGTCCCATTCTGAAAGATTCTGGTTTAACTGACCTTGGACATGAGCTGGGTTTGGGAACTGCTTTTTAAAAGCTCCTCAGCTAATGTGTAGACACGTTTGGGGATCAGTTACTGAGTAACTACTCACATGGCTCCGCTTTTATTACACATGACACTGTGGTCCACAATGATGGCCTGAACTTCTTGCCTGTAACTTCCATGGTTTCATACCTGCCATAAGACTTGGAACCGCTACATTCTCCTTTGCAAAGCCTTTCAGTAACCATGCTTCTTATCTCTGAATGCACCAGAAAAAATGATGCGAGCAAGGCTTGGGAGGAGGAGGAAGAGATGGAATGGTGAATACTGAGTAGTGGAGCCCTGTGCAATATTAAAAGCTATGGCAAGATGCTCCTACTACCTGCCTCGTCCTTCCCTACCATTCTTAGTCTATAGAACAAAGGACCTGGTGCCAATTTACCTGGCTTGTGCACCTCCAACAGATGCAGTGCGTTGCGGAGTACTCTGTATTTTCCAAATGGCATGATGCAATGGGGACTCTAAGGTTATACACCAGGCTTTTAATTTCTCTCCACAACTTCCTCCTAGAGCACTCAAGACCTCATTTCAGCAACTGAAGTTCCAGTTCATTTCTATGTTTAGCTGTAAGCAACAAGAAAAGCTGAGTAAAAATGAATGGAAATATTGGAAATAGCCAAGGATTCTCTCTCTCTCTCTCTCTCTCTCTCACACACACACACACACACACACACACACACACACACACGGTAAGTCAGGCTTAGAAATAAGATTCTATTGCTATGGATACCTTCTAGTAGAGAGTGACCCACTGTGCTCCATGCTGTCTGGTTTTGTGGCACTTGTTTGGAGAACTGCGGGGGGAAATCTAGGCTCCTTGCTCACAAAGCAGACTTTGCTCAGTGAGCTGCACTACTTAGAAGCAAGCTATTGCGTCTTCTTTTCCTCCATCTGAGATCCAGAATTGGAACGATCTAAACAGAAACATGTTCCGGCTAGATCCAAGTCTATCAAGTGCCAACATTTCTAGGCTCCTTGGAAATCAAAATTGGCCCGAGTTTCCAGAAAGCAATTTGGTAATATGTCTTAAGAGTTTGAAATATGTTCATATCATATCCTTTCACCCAGTTATTTTACATTTTATACTAAGGAAATAACCAGAGATGTGACAAAAGATTTATGTATAATGATCTTCATCAAAGTGTTTGTGCATAATTGCTAAAAATCAGAAGGAACTCTATGCTTTCTACAATATAAGACTGGTTCACTGTGCTATGGAATGAATATACTATGCTACAGCAGACTGTAAAATGCATAGGTTGTTAAAACTTTTGTTTTTAAATGATTTTTATGATATGAGCAAATGCACATAATATAATGCTACATGAAAAAGTGCAGGTAAAAGGTTATTACTTTTGTACTTTAATCTTGTCATGGATACATAGACCTACAAGTAGAGAGGAAGAGTCTGGTCAGAAATATGCTAAAATGTCAACAATGGTTACCTGGGTGGTGTGGTTGTGGTTAATTTTCTCCCAGATTTTCCAAGCTCATATTCTATGTATTATCAGGAAAATATAGTAATTTTTTTTTTTTTTCAAAGAACAGGACATGTTATTTCTCATTGAGGCACCAAGCCCCTACTTGGCCCCCTACTATGGGACACTCTCAGGAGTAATCTCAATAATAGTCACCACCATTCTGTCACTACCTGTGCACAATGATAATTCCAAACCCTGCTGTGCTCATGGCTGCCTTTGAGTCCCACACTAGCATTCGTGTGGATGAGCCTGGGGAGCATGTCAGTCCTCTCGTGAGTCCCGCAGAAGACTGAGGCACGTTTGGGGAAGAATGGTATCTGCTTTACCTATGAGCGTGTCTGCTGGGTAGGACTATGTGTCAGCCATGTTACTCTGCAGCCTTGTGAACTTAATCGCAGTCTTAGGAATCAAAGAGGACATGCCCAGACATGCACAAGTGCATTTGTTCAGTTAGTCTAGTAGTACTTATTCAGCATCTTCTGTGTGCCAGGTGAGGTTCTCACTCATTCTACTAACACTCTTAGTGCTTGTTTCTTAAAGTTGCTGACTGCTGGAGCTGAAAAGGCAAGTTAAGAACTAAAGGTTGGAGTTCCACATGGAAGAACGGAATTAGGGTTCTGGGTTTTACCAAAATGCTCTCTCTCTCTTTCTTCAGATGGAGGTGATCGTTGGGGACTTTGGGATTGTGGTGGTGCCCCGGGATGCAGCTGACACAGACAGAATCATGAATCACTCCTCAATACTCCGCAAATACAAAGTGAGTCTTGCGTCTATCTCTCTGCTTGTGTATCTGTGTGGTGGCTCTTCTCTGAGAGTCCTGGGAGGGCTGGAGGAGTGAGAGAGCAAAAGGAATTCAATGAGAGGGGCTCGCAGCCTACTTTCTCTGCTCTGTTTCCAGAACAACATCATGGTGGTGAAGGATGACATCAACCATCCCATGTCTGTTGTCAGTTCAACCAAGAGCAGGTACGTCTGACAAATGACCAGAGACACTGGTCACACTGGCTTACCAGTTTCCATGTAGCTGTCCTTAGCCAAAGGTTTAGAGGACACATCAAGAGGACTCTTGCTGGGGGGCTGGGGATTTAGCTCAGCGTCAAAAGCGCCTGCCTGGCAAGCGCAAGGTCGTGAGTTCGGTTCCCGGTTCTGGAGAAAAAACCAAAACCAAAAAAAAAAAAAAAAGGTTGTAAGAGGACTCTTGCTGACCCAGTATTCAGCCTCCTGTTTGGCTTCATTTATTTGTTCTCAACCACTTACCTTTAAAAGAGAAAATAATATATTAGCTAATCTTAGCTAGTTTGAGGGGAAAGAAGATGTTTTTAGTTGTGAGTTTTTAGTTTGAGATTCTACAAGATAGTGTATTAATAAGGATATAGACCAAGCTGCCATAACAAAAAGATCTCAATATACAGAGTTTTTATAAGGTATATGATTAGTTCCTTATTACCAAAGTCCAAAGGACATGAATCTCTGGTCTCTTCAATATGAAGCTTCCATCTCTGACCCCACAGAGGCTGCCATGACTGTTCTTCTTGGCCAGTGGGAAGGTAAAGCCTGAGGCAAGAAGCTTTGTCTTTAAGGTTGCTGTATCACCTCTCTTTGCATCCCACTGGCTCCGGGATGAAGGAAGGCTGGGAAAAAGCATTTATTGCTTGGCAACCATCTGTCCAGATAAAAGAGGAGGCTGTATTACTAAACGAAAGAAAGAGAAGATGATTACCAGGAGCCAGTTAACAACCACAAACCCCAAGTGAAAATATCCAGTGGCATGGTGAGTTATATAGGATACGGACGTTTGGAAATACAAAACTGAGGGCCGTGAATGTATTATTCCCAGCATGGATGAGCTCACAGAGAGTGCTAAGAAGAAAAGAAGAAAAAGCATCCATAAAGAACACTGCAAACATATTGGCCTTTTAAGAAGACTAAGGAGCAGTCACAACCTCCCAGCAATGATGGCTCAGGAACTAAGGCAGAAGCGGGTCCAAAAATGGAGAGCATTGTCATCTGTGTCGCATATCAGAGAAAACAAGTGAACTCATGACTTAAAAAAAGAGTGTATTGGACTTTGTCCCTGAAAGACAATTATGTAGACACTTATAAAAGTGGAAGCAACTGGGAGGGAAGGGCAGAAGCTCAAGGACAAAGGAAAATGAGTAGACAGGGAGGGGAAGATCGTGATTCCAAACACAGCAGCACATTAGATGCACCCTGTTACACACCAGTACAAATTCCTGTGTCCCATTCAGCTTCACTGAATCAGACTTTTCTTGGGTTGGGCTTAGGAATCTGCTGCCTAGATGAGTCTGGTGAAGTTGTGATTGGCATTTGGGAACCACCTAGATACGCTTATGAAGTGTTTTATGTGCAAGGTGACCCTTGGGACCTACTTTGTAAGGTCAGGACAGTGTACGTGTTGAAAGTGAGCCAGTCTCCAGGGTGATCTCACAGAGCAGAGCTCAGCTGCCTTTTAGAATCTTGATACCTGGAGAAGTATATGAATTTTCACAAATAGATCCTTAGAATCTAACATTCCCAAGACTCATATAAGCAGAAGTAGCCAGGAACACACTGAAGAAAAATTGTGGAGAAACTAAAGTTTATCACTGGAGTCCTTCATACCTGTCAGAGTCTTCCCTCCATGGACTCCCAACCAAGGGCTCCTATAGGAAAGAAAAGATGTGGTCAGTCATAGGAACCCCCTGGGAGATTGACTTTTGTGACATCAGCTTACAGAGAAACACAAGAGATGAATAAGTGTATCTTAAATATACACATAGAAAAGTTTATTTTTTAAAAAATAGGTAATACATTAAAATGCCTGCTGTGTCTTTGCAACATTCTAAGTGCTTTGCACAATGGCTCTTTTAACCCTCTTAATAGCTGAGTGGAATTGGCTTAAAGATTATCTTCATTTTAGAGAGGAGAAAGCTAAAGAACAGTGGGTCTTAAATAACTCGCCCAAAGTCTCTCAGCTAGAAGTGACAGAGTCAGGATGTCACTGGCTGGGGGAAGGTATGCAGAAGCAAGAGGGCATTTCCTAATATCGATACTGTTTGCTCAATCTAAGCAAAGGCTGGTGATGGGATGTTGAGGAGACACCTGTGAATGTTTCTCCTGAAAGACAGAGCACAGGCCAGTACTACGGTCTTGCTTCAGTCTCAGGCATGGCTATCTCTCTGATTGACATCTTTTCTCATGCAGGCTGGCCCTGCAGCATGGGGATGGCCACGTCGTGGATTACCTGTCCCAACCAGTCATTGACTACATCCTCAAGAGCCAGCTGTACATCAACGCCTCTGGCTAGCAGCCGCTCAGCTCTCTGCTCCACTCTCCCCTCGTCCTCTGACAACACACTGGCCCCTCCAATCTCTGTCCATTCCCCCAGTCTCTCTCCTGCCTCTCTGTTCCTCCAACTCCTCATCTTGACTGTTCTCTCTACTGCTGACTTAACCCCCCACAGTGTGGGGGACCTGCAAAGAAACATGGCACTCCCTATTCCACAGTCATCTTTGGACAAACTTTCCTCTAGTCTCTGGGTTGGGGGTGGGAGAGGGAATGGGGTGGGAGTTGGGGGAAGTGCAGTCCTTGGAGATGTACTGATATTCATTTCCCAGCATGCTCTAGAGAGGCGGCTCTGGTGCCCATCCTCCCAGCATGCTCTGTGGAGGCGGCTCTAGCTCTCGCCTTCCCAGCATGCCCTTTACCACAAAGGGCTACTTTTCTTTTTTTCTTTTTATTTATTTATTGTTTTGTTCGCTTCTTGTAGAATTTAGATGAAATCAGTGTCTATGATTCTTTACGTTTTTAGTAGTCCTAATGCACTCCTGTGATATGACTTCCCTTCCGATAGGGCACTATAGCCAGCCTCAGCACTCAGGAAGTGCATGAGGGCCATGCACAGCAGGGAAAGCTGAGTCACCTCCAGTTCTCCCACACAAACCTACACACACACACACACACACACACAGCAGCAGCAGCAACAGCAGCAACAACAACAACAACAACAACCTTTAGTCAGGAGTCAGATTTCCAGATTCCAAAACCTGCAAATGAATGCTGGAATAGTAAGGATTCTTAAAATTTGAGTTCATTCCTTTAGTTTCAGAAGACCAGTTTTCTGATGCCTTGGAGCTATAATTACACAGAGCTAGTCTGTACTCAGTCAGTACATTGATCTACATGGGCTGTGGCCAATTGTCACCGTGTGAGTTTCAAATGTCAACCCAAGAACCTCAGTCTTTGGATACCATGCTTAGACATGTGCCTGCGCCTGAGAAGAATCACACAGGCAAGGCCAAATCCTGATAACCCAGTTTTTTTGTTTAAAAACATGCTAGGAATTCACTCAACCCTCAAGATCTTTGCTAATTAGAATTATTTATTGCCCATTTGGCTGGGAACTGTCTCTGTTATGATGGAAATTCAAGATGATCTAGGAGAAATTTGTTTCCCTGAAGAGAACTGATGATTCTCAGACACTCCCGCTGATGTTCCCTAGGTCATGCTGAGGTCTATTCTTTCTTGAGAAACAGTGTGTGGGCCTTCTGGCCTGGTCACATCTCCCGCACAGCCCAGCAACTGCAGGCGCAGCCCAAGGAGACCCGCCTGACTCAGGAATGGGTTCAGGATAGAGAGATTGTGAAGCCATCAGGAGCAACTAAGCTATTTCCATCCACTTCTCCTTGATTCCTTCCTTTCTGTCTGGCCCTGGAAAAACTTTTGATAGATTGTGTTCTGGTTGTTAAGCCCTCCCTCCTGTCCTTCTTAAGAAGCTAAAAGGAAAGTACTCTCATGCTTTCTATCTCTCATCCAGTCTCTGGCTATCGGGTTTCCAGTTGTCCTCGAGGAATAGTCCCCAAGTATTATATTTTTGTCCAAATCTGTATGAACTGTGGCCCAGGTAGAACCTGAAACCAGGGACAACATTATGGCCACTCATTTCACCTTTTCAGCATTTTTCATTTGTCTCCAGGAAAAGGAAGTGAATTCAACAGAAGAACATGGTAGAGGAGCATCCTAAAGGGTGTTGTGTCTCTTGGATTATAAAAATAATCTTCAGAGAAAGGAAGGAAAATCCTATTTTGGGGCCTCGGGGTTTGGCTAGGAATCATGGAATAATGAACTGGAAAAAAAAAAAATCTTTGGAGCTCAGTTGCTCCAACATTCGCCTTTAAAGGCGAGGGAGCAGAAATCCATGGAATTAAATTGCTGATCCCAGGCCATACATCAAGTGCAGAGCTTGGTGAGAGGGTATCGTTTCTCTGGAACAGAAAAAGACAGGAGCTGCATTTTCTAGAGGAAAAAAAAGATGTTTTTAGAGTTTATGGACAAAGTTTATGAGATTCTGCATGAGCAGACCTGAGAAAGACTATAGATTTCTTTTGTCCCTTTGGTCTACTCTTCCTCTGCTGGATGTTGGTCAAGCCCCATTTAGTCCACAGACCCCAGAGGACCTGAGCTGGCTCTGCACCATCAGCGTGGGGAGGGAAGGAATGTGGAAGCTAGGAGGGAGAGTGGGATGAGGGAAGGAGAAGAACAGACTCAAGAGAAGTCGATTTTTAGGAATGAACGGGACAGATTATATGTTGGTATATCACAGGGATTGTGTTAAAAACAGCTTTCCTTTAATGACAGGAAAGTGAATTCCCTTTTAGGTGAAACTCCCATTCCCCACTGTCCTCCATTCTGCCTTTGCTGGAAGAAAGTCAGAGTACCTTTCAGAGTCAAGGGCAAGACATGGACTGTGACCTGGACATAGTGCCAGAAAAATGGCTCAGAGTTTTAAGGTGTGCCCTAGGTGCCAACAGGATAGCCTCTAGGCATGACTTCCCTCTGGGGTCCTGCTGCTTTGGTCCAAGGCCAAACTGAGAGCGGCACAGCTGAGAGAGGGTGAGAAAACATGAGCTGGAATGATCCTGTCAAGAGAAGTCTGGAACCTCATTTCCTGCAACCAATAGAAAAAGGTCTTTTCCATTTTTCTGAAAGTGGCTGATGTAAGAACAGCCAGAAGGAAAGCTCTTTGTGTTAGTGATGCTCTCCTCCAGGAATGGTCCTCAGGGTGCTCTGTGCTGCTAGCAGGTACCTCAGTCACACACACCCCAACCCTAGGTAGCCTCTCGGCCTTCTAACTTTCATTTTCCTTGAATGTCCGTGGGATCAGGGAAGAAAGTCTCTTACTGAAGTGCCTGAAACTAGAGCTAGAGCTTCTTAAGACTCGGATCTTCCTATCTCGGCTTGGCTAGCGTTTCCCCAACAAGCTCTAGTCTCAAGCTCCAACTTCTCAGAAAGAATTAAAGAACTTGCTGTTCAAATTAAGCTGAAAGTAAGACTCAGTAGTCAAACTACAGCAAAAGGCAGAGAATCACAGGGAGAAATTTGTACTACCACCCCAGTGTACTCTCCCCAAACTGATACACACGCACACACACACTTTTCGGGGACTAAGGAGAGAAGCATATTATTATGTATATTTTATTCATCAAAAGAGTGATGCAAAACTAAAACCATAGAGTATGAAAAGCTCAGGATCTCTCCCAAGGATACAGTAGGGGAGTCAACAGGTGAGATGGGAAGGATGGAAACAGGGACTGATTTTGTAGCTCAGATACTTAGGACACCTTAGAAGTAGCATCTTGGTGATGATGACCATGCTCTGCCAAATTCATCCAGTCTGCACCTTCCTGTAGCTGCCCGGTAAACTCAACTCTTCATGTGTAATGTAAAGTTGAAGTGTCCTATAATCTGTTCCAGTTAGTTAGAAATGAGTTACAGCTCTTTCCCTCCACCTTCAGTCGAGTCCCTGGGCCTAGAGCTCAACTTGAGCTTCTTGGCCCCTCGGGTTGGCATAGGAAGGGGGAAACTTTTTTGGAATCTTTTTTTTTTTTTGTCACATAACCTGCCATTTTAAGAGTAAAATTTGTGTTATGGAAATCAATTCATGAATAAAAACTACATTCAAGTTGCAATACCATTTCACAGTGAAATACTTTGAGTAAAATTTTGTTGCTAGGATAGTCATGGACAAGAGTTTTATCAGCAAAATGTTTCAATTATGTTAATAAAGAAGACAACGCTACTAGAGTCTTGTGTCTCTGATCCTTCTCTGTGGGTTCCTCTAGAAGTAATCACTTTTTCTCTTCATTTTACTTAACAGGAAACAATTAGTGTAAAAAGGTACCTAGAATAGGAGATTTCCTGCCTGGTGCAGTGGATGCCACATGTGTAATATAAAAATACATACAACCATACCCAAGGACTACCGTATGTTTTTTGGTTTTTTGTGGTACTGGGGATCAAACTCACAACCTTGCGCTTGCCAGTCAGGTGCTTATGCCACTGAGCTATATCCCCGGCCCCTTCCAAGGACTACAAAGGGAAAAATAATTAGCAAATTTTTAAGTGGTACCTAAGTTTTTTCAGTTTATAAATATTAATTCTTAGGTCCAGACTAGCCCACACCATCTGGTCTTGGTTAACTTTGGGTATTTACTGAAATTAATGCTTTATTAAATAAAATTATATTTGCTAAAATTAACAACTGATATAACTTTTTGGTATGGAAGATCTTAACTGAGAAAGGAATTGTTAAATTCACAATTTGTTTTGCAATGTAAATGAAATGAACAAAAATTAATGATGTGTTAATTGTTCAATCCTGCTGTGATAATTAGTTCTTATTTTATCTTTAGTTATAACCTACATCTTGCATTGGTTTAGGTCTAGACTGTGATTGTCATTAGCTAATCATTAGTCAGGATTTAGAAAATGAAGTAGCATTTGCCTATTAGGTCAGCCTATTAAAAAATAAGATAGTTGTAGGGTTAGATGCTTGTTTATTAGAACAGGTTTGGGGTTTTTATTTTGGTTCTTAATTATTTTGGTTCTTAAGATTCTTAGGATTTTTTTTCCTTAAAATTAAATGAGCCAGCTTTGTGTTGATCCTTGTAGGTTTTGTGGTACATCATAATAATGTTTAATATAGCTTGTAAATTTATCACTTGAGTTTGTATTGCTATTTTGTTCACCAAGCTAAACACTGCTTTTTCCTGTCCCAAGAGTGGGTAATAAGGAAAATATGTTTAAAATTGAATATAAACACTGGCTTAACTTGCTAACTTATACTAACATAAAAATGTACACACTAAATATGAATTAATATTCACAGTCACCCACATTTCTTTTCTTATGGTCCATGAATAAGTTTCAGATCTTGGGATTTCCTAAGTTCCATGTGGCCAATAGTATGAAGTAGAAAAATTCTAATCTCTGTTTTCCAAGTGGGAAAATCAAACTACAGCAAGAATCCGTAACATTCCCATGACCATACAAAACATTGAAAGAAGACATAATAAACATATTCCTGGTCCTTGAGACTTGTCCCAAACACTGGACAGTACTTAGTACCTTACTCTTTTTTCTAGCTTCCAAAGAATACAAAAGAAACCACATCCTGAGGTAAAATGAGAAATACAGCTGCTAAAAAGTTATAGTCTATGGGAAGTTTCATTTCTACCCCTCTCTCACCTACTGTGATTCAAAGAAGATGCTGATGTGTGTAATAGCTTGCCACCAGCACAATGAGTCAGACGACTCTGAGGAGAAGTATGAAAACTTTGTCGTGACAAATAGTGACAAGAAACCGGAAGGAAGGCCCCTTAACTTGACAGCATCAGGTCAAGCCTGGCAACCAGGAGTTTGGACCTCAGTAAGCGACCTCTATGCCACATCATCTTCCTTTTTCTCAGAGTTAATTTGCCAGGTCCTTAGAAATAAGAGAATCCTTTCTATACAAAAGAATACCAATACCCATTTTCCATTCCCCTCCCAACTCAGGTTTGTGTTCTATCCGTCAAGAAGGACATTCTTATGATTTTCTTAATAATCCATCCCACTGAGGAATCCTCTTATAATTGTGTGTACCATGCCTCTTAGCTAGTGCAAGCCCTCACCAGGTTCCCTAGAATATGCACTGTCTAATCCTATGCTCAGCAGAGATGACCAATCACCAGCAGTGCCTGCTCCTTTTCCATACTGAAGAATTGTCACTAAGCAACAGCTTTCCACCAAGGGGCTTGGTGGTGAAGATGCGTTCCAGATCCCTTTCAGGTTAAATACGGTCATAATAATGGGTTTTGAACCAATGACCCACAAGGCCTCCCAGACTTGGCCACAAAGACCTCTCCTGTGCCTCCATCATCCGTGTTCTTTTCCGTTATCCAGCTGAATAGTGACATCCCCTCTCTCCCACCAAATGCAACCTTAAAGCACGTTATAAACAGTAGGGCCTCCAAAATAACTAAGTGAAGGCCACGCTGCCAGCCTGCTCTCCACCCAGTCTATTAAGGGTCAAAGAACCATCAGTCTGTGTGTTTAACTTACTGGGTATTCTTTAAGGTCTTTGTAACATAGCAGGTACTTTAATTAACATACATACATTTTTCTGGACATTAGCTAATTACATCAGGAAATTTGTAGGATATATGATCTAACATGCCAAGACAGAGTTATAAAGTCACTTCTACAAAAAGGAAAAAGTGATCAGATCTATCAGAATTTGGGGGGTCAGTAGGGACAGGAGCAGAATCCTTTCCTCAGTCCCTTGGGTAGACAGCCAGTTCAAGATTTTACTTTGTTTCATTTTCACCTATTAAAAGAATGACATATGCACAACAAACTATTGATCTTACCTTCATTTTATATGGTGAAAGAATATTAATTATACTCCCAAGAATATTAATTATACTTTCAGCCCCACTTGGGTTAGTCTAGAAATAAATATTCTTTGTGCTGAAGATACAGTATCAGCTAAAATCTCAAGGTACTCTCATGGTTGGAAGGGTAAAATAAGATACTCAAAAACAGGAAATAAAGATGCTAACTCTAAGCTTGCTCTCTCTCTCTCTCTCTCTCTCTCTCACTCTCTGTAATGCTGGGAATGGAACCCAGCACCTCCAGGCCACTGTAGGACCCACCGACATTCTATCAGCATTTTCACTTCCATGGTTTTTGTACTTTCATTTTAGAGTTTAATAAAAATCAGAAATTGACCCCAGGCATCTAACAATTGTTCTTTATTTGAAAACATGTCCATGAGAAGCCAAGGAAATAAAGAAGTGAGGCAGGAGGAAAGTTCCAAGCTGAGGTGAAAGTGCCGCTGGTTCCTTCAGCAATTCCCACTGGTTACCATGACTCAACAGTCTGTCGCAATCCGTTGTGGCAGGGGCGGAGGGACAGCTGGAATGCAGAGAAGTGTGTGCAACCCAAAGCTCGGTCAGCTTTGTCCCAACTCAAGTGCCCCCGTGGGAATCTCTTGCAACACATGTTCTGTTAAGAAAAGAGGTTGCAGACCAAAGGGTAATTGGGGAAACTACCACTGGTGATGCACAAATTTGTTAAGCTTAAATTTGTTATGTTTTTAATGTTGGTCTTCCTCACCAGACAGTGAGCCATACAAGGGCACTTCTGTACTGTCTGCCCTGCTACACGATATAGGCTCAATAAATATATGTCGGAAGCATGATGGAAGGATGGATTCTTCCAGCTCAAAGGTGGCTGGGGACATTTTCTGCTACAGGGTGAGAGATAATTGTGTGATTTGTAGTGTTTGAAAAGTAGGAATGAATGAGGACTAATGAATCTTTTTTTTTGATAATTTCACCTCTTTCAGTGCCCAAGTGATAATTTTTTTCCATCATTTTGAAACCCAAAAGTAAATACCTTTGTGATATTTGATTTGTGGGATAAAAAAAAAAAAGCTTTAATAAAAATATCATCTCCAGAATGTCATGGCATTATTATGAGAAAGGATATCACTCCTGGGCCCGGAGCATGAAGGTGGCAGTCACCAGCCGGCACCGCCGCTCCCAGGGGGCCAGGCCGTGCTTCCAGGCCCTCAGTCCATCCCTGCTCCTTCTAGCTTGCAAGTGGAGCACATGCTCATGTAAGGGGGTGAGTGGGAGGAACTCTGGTCATAGAGAAGCCTGCAGTGGACAACGGAAAGCAACAGGATTTTTACTGGCCATAGCATGATCGGACGTTAGTGTGTTCTGCCATCAGGAAGAATTTTTAATGCCTGGGAGAAGTAACAAATGGTCCTTTTAGTCACATTGTTCAAATAAGATGACCATAACCCACAGCACTTGTCCAGATTCCAGAACTCTGTTTCTGACTGTTCTGAGGCAAATGTCTGCCTGTGCAGTTTTTCCTTCCAACCAGTCTGTTCTTGGATTCCCAGGTCCTCCATCAGTCTCACACCCCATGCCATCTGTCTCACTGCCCCGCAGTACCAGGAAGCAAACAGCACCAGGCTGGTACAGTAAGACATTGGGGGCCACGATCTCAGGGATGGGGTCAGGATCAGTCGACCTGAGCACATCCATCAAACATGTTCCAATGCCCCCATCCCACCCCACCCACACACAATGGCTCCCTGATCCCGGAGGCCTGGATCCCAAGAAGCTTAGTCAAGTTCAGCTTCACTGCTGCTCCAGAGCCTGTGTATTGTAACAGCCCGGGGGCAGGTTGTCCCTGATGTTCTCCAGGTTCTTCACGTCAGCCAGAATCCCATCTATGCTTAGCTCCAGGAAGCGGAGGTGACCCTTCTGTCGACGTGCCCTCTCCTCCAGCTCTGACATCAAGGGCCGCAGTTGGCTGTTAATCTGGGTCTTCGTTTGGAAAAGCTCCTGCTCCAATAAGGCCAGTCCCTCCTCATCCACACTCCCAGGCTGGTCTATTTTAGGAAATGAGAAATGAATTAACACAGAAAGCTGTAGTTAGATCTCGTGGAACACATGTGTGCCCTTCTATACTCTTAACAAATTCCCATTTCCTGCCCCAAGCAAATATATACTATGCGTTTTAAAGGCTTATTTTTTTTTTGTTAGTACATGGTACATAAAGACATTTTAAATTAGAAATAATCTAGGAAAAGCTCAGAGAGCACTAGCTTATGGGCTATGAACAACTCAGTTCAAGACTCAGATCTATAGTTCAGCCATGTAAATTTTGGAGTTCACTTTTCAGGTTACAGTCAATAGATCATGCTCTGAAAAGATGAAGGCTGAAGGTCACAGGGGACTGAGCACTATCCAAAGTGTCTGCCTAACGCAGTCCCCTGTGATCAAAAATCCATTCTAAGTACACTCCCTTGATCACCCTTAGGAAATAGCTTGCTGTTTTCTAGAAGAAGATCTCTGGAAACTGGCTGAGCTTCAGTGTTTACAGAGGCCAAGGTATGCTTTGCTATTTGGGGGATGGATTCCAGCTGTTAGAAAATGATGTAAGACTTAATTTTGGACCAAAACAGTGGGAATCTGGCTAGGTATCAGTTTATTTCCAGTGTGAAATGCAATCACATTGGTTCAGGTATGTTTTACCCATAAACAATATAAAGCCAAAGTTAGCATGAAGGGCATCTGGCCAGACCTGTTTAGTTCAATTAAATTTGAATTGCCCTTGGTCCGTTCAAACTCAAGGTCACATATTTGAGCTACAGAGAAGTGTTTGAGTGCATGAGTTGTTATACCTAGAGCAATTAATCAGTTATTGTTCCAAGCCTCAAGAGAGCACACAGAGTACAAACAATATCATAACAAAAATGTTGAGCCAAAGGACCTGCCCTTTGCCTGGGGACAGGGAAATTTAGAGTTCTGTGACATGCAGAGAAGCTTAAGTAAGCTTGGGAACAAAATAACCAAGTCCATGGGGAGGCAACTTGAGCTACTAGAAAAAAGCAGTAATGTTGAAGACAAAGAGATCTGACTTTGAATCCTGTCTCCACAATTTCAGTTTATTCCTCTGTGAGACAAAATAATACAAATAATAAACCCGGCTCCTGAGACTATTATAAGACTTGGATAGTACGACACCATGAAAACATGGCATTGTACCTAATAACACACAGTGTTTAATAGTTCCCACTGCCCTTCTCTCTCTGCTCTCTCACTTTCTCTTTAAAGTCTCCATTTCATTACTGTTTCTAAAATACTAAACATTGCTGCGAAAATCTCACCTGGAAAGGTTTATTTTTTATCCTTAGAGAGTATTTTACTCTTTGCAACTCATGGGACCACAAAGTAGACCCCTTAGTATGATAACAGGCAATGTTAGTGTCTCAAGGAGATTATGACACTATAGAAAAATCAGATTGTAAAGTTGTTCTACTAAAGTAGAAAAATAGACCTAAATCTTTTCCTGAACACTACTAGAATCTGTGGCCAAGTCTGTACTTCCTCATCTACTGCAGCCCAAGCTTGATTAAACAGGCCAAATGAGGTTTTGATTTCAGCTCTACTTACATCAAGAGGTTTAATTAAAATCAGTTTTCTTCTAGGAGTGACTCTGGGGGAAATCTGATTCCTGCTATCAAAGCCCTTTTATCCTAAACTTTTGCCTTATGTTATAGACATAGATCCATGATACTAGTGTCTTCACATTTCTTCTAGGTCATCTGCCTGGGAAGTCGCAGTTTCCCCAGTGGGCTACATCAAAGGGTAACTTTGGTTTGTGGAGGGACAGACAGCAAAATCAGCAAGTGGCCCTTGACCTCACAGACAGAGGACCTTCCTCCACGTCTCTCCTCTCACCACTTTGTCCACTCCTCCGAGCAGTCTCCCGTCATCTTTTTCCTCAGTGTTCAATAGCATCCTGATTTTCCTGTGCCTTCTGACTAACTCCCCCTTCAAGCTTTCCTCCACTCAGCTGCCCTTGTGAGCTTTCTGAATATACAGTGGTCACATCATTCGTCTGTGTAAAACTGCCCCCTGGCTTCTCAGGATCAAGGCCAGACTCTTTCACAGGAACCTCAAGCTATCCAATCTGCTCTGAAGTTCCTGGAAGAATACACTCAGTTATTCCACCCACAGACCTCATCTCTAAGTACAATAGTTGCTCAGTGACTCATTCTAGAGGTGGTAAAACAGAATGCAGAAACTATAATGTAACCTGCACAAGGTCTCTGGGCGTGAAAACAAAGCAAATTTCTGGATACCCTAAGGACCAGTTGAGATTGCCATTCCTCAGGGCTAGAAATAGTGAGTCTTCTGAGAAAAGACCCTAGAGCAAGGGGCCAGAAGGTGTGGAGAATCCACAGACCTATTAGGTGTAGGATGCTGTCCAATGAGTTGAGCGTGTCTTGGATTGTAACACCTGCATTCTTGGCTCTGGTATCAACTCTCTGGGCTTCGGTAATAACCTGCAGAAAAACAAGAACAAAGCTGTCTCAAAAGGCTACTTTCCTTATCGACAACTCTAAAGGGCTCTCTCATGGAAAGGAGCAGTCACTCACCATCTGCATTGCGTCCATGTCTGTATCAAACTCCAGCTCCTTCCTGGCCAGCACTCCTTCCACCTCTCTCATTTCGCTCTTTAGAGTGGCCAGTCCCTTTTCCATGGCCAAGGCCCCATCTGCTGTCACATTAGCTTCCAAGTTCAGACTCCCTATCTCCTGGGAGAAGAAAAGGGGCCAAGGACAAAAGAAGAGCGGGAAGTGAGACTCAAAAACATCCAACGGACAACTGTAGAAAAAATACAGCAGCAGCCTGACTCTGATGAGCTAAGTCAGATGAAGAAGGAGACGGTCAGACATGAGGACACACCCTTCCCAAGATCCGCCTCAAACAAGTTAATTCTGGGGTACGTCTCTAGGGAATAGGAGGGCCGGCACCGAGACACCACTTTCCTCTCAGTTCTGTGCTAACCAAATGTTACACGTAGGAACCATTTAAGAAAACTCACAGGACAAGAAACTGGTATCATTCCTTGTCATGTTCCTTTGCAGCCGTGGTCTTTTGAATGACCACTAAGATCCTCAAGACAATCAAGTTTGGAGTGCGGAGAATGAATGGGCAACAGTGTTGAATTTTTGTTTTTATAAGGACTAAGGTGCCTTTATTCTAGAAATTGTATTAAGAGAGGTACAAGAAATGAGTCTCTTTCCTCAAGGGACTTAAAATTAGAAATTATTTTTATAGGCTACCAAGTGGTCTAAAAGTGAAGTCAAATTGTCCAGATACCAAGAGTTTCTTCTGAGCTTTCTACAGTTGCACAAGCTCACAGGAAGCCATGCCTAATTAAGAGCTAAGAAGTACTTCTCTGCAAACAAGCACTCCTTCCACGGTAGCATTTAACATATGGGTTGCAAGTGGAGTTTGTCTGTCTGCTGTTGCTCTGAGTGTTCTTTGAAGATAAGCAATAGGTCTCTCTTCTCTCTGTATCTCCAGCACCAAGCACAGTGTAAGCACACCATAGAGGACAGAGAAAAGTGAGCAAGTGGAGCTTAGACATGGGACACAGACAGGGCCAAAGGATCAGGTGCTCCACAACTTCATGATCTGGAATTGAAACAAGGATGATAGTCGTTCAGGTTGAATAGTATCCCTCTACAGATTTGTTGAAATCCTAACCCGAGAACTTCAGAATGTAATTTATTCGGACACTGGTTTGTTGAGGATATGATTAAACTGTGATGAGGTCATCCTGGGGTAGGTTGAGTCCTTAATCCAATGTGACTGATGTCCTTATAAGAGGAGACAAAGACCCTGAGGGAGAGCACCACGGTTTTACAGAGACAGAGATTAGAGTGATAGAGCTACAAACCAAGGAATGCCGAAGATTGGTAAGCACTAGCAGGACACGGGAAGAGGCAAGAAAGGACTCTCCCATGGAGCCTCCTGAGGGAGTGCAGCTCGAGTCTCTAGAACTGTGACAGGGAATTTTCTGTTGTTTTGAGCCATCTGATTTGTGGTATTTTGTTAAGCAGTCCTAGAAATGAATACAGCAGTCTACTTAAAAACAGTCTTGGGTCTTTCTTCTCGTGATTGTCTAAATGTAACTGAGAATGGGCACTCGGGCACACAGTCCCGCCAGCCTGTGACTCAGCGCAACAGAAGGGGTGGCCACGTGGACCGGACGCTGCCGAGGACTACAACAGGACTCTGAACCACCGGGGTCAAAATGAGCCCAGTGCTTTCGCTTCTTCCAGACTAATGCTGTGTTTGCCACTGCTTGTGCCAGCCTTCGTCTCCTTTGCTCTTTACCTGTTCTACTTTGCCACTGATCTCCAGTGCCTCCCTTGCCGCACTCTTTGCCCGCTGGGCATTGACAGTGGCACTGCCCAGTGCCCCTTCGGCTTGCTCCGTCTTGTCACTGGCATCTGCGACCTTCTGGCTGACGTAGGAGAGTCTCCTCATGGCGTCTTCAGCTTCTGCTTTTCTGTCTTCTACCTGCAGGTCAAATTCTGAAATAAAGGGACAAAATAACAGCCATGAAGATGAAAAGTAACTTACAAAAAAGACTCGGATGGTTGAAAGCGACTGATGAAAGGGACTGATGAAAAACTCCTAAAAGTATTATTCCCACCTGAGGGTGACGGAGTGTGGGAGGCTGTGGCTGGAATTGTTCTCCTTATCTAAGAGAGAACACCTCCAAGGAGGCTTGAGGGAGCCAAAGTTAGTCCTTTGCTTAGAGAAACTATCAGCCTGCCCTTGGTCCCCATCGATGTAAGAGCATCAAAACCACCAAGTGGATAAAAAGCAGGTAGAATCCCTGAAGCCCAAAGCTTGAAGTCAGAAGCTGCCACTGATAAGAGCTGGGGGTTTGGATAGAATGGATAAGAGGAATTTTTTATAAAGAAAATCCCCCTCCCAAAACAAAACAAAACAAAGAAAATCCCAAGTCTCTGCTTCTGTTAGTAACGAACACTAAAATTTTAACCAAATTTCTGCAAACCTTGACCTAAACCTCCTGCAATCTACATACCATGACAGAGGTTACTGTGTCATCCCCTCAGATCACCCAGGTTACAAAAGAAAGGGAAAAATACCTTTACAGTAGTGAGCTGTATCTATGAGAGATCTTTGAGGTCTCTTAGTTCAACCTTTTCCCTTTAAAGAGCAGGGTTTTGGGGTCTACAGAGGCCATGTGAATTGCTTGGGGCTGCACTGCAAGACTGGGCTGCTTCCCTGGCCCCAAAGAGAGGAAAACATAAGCTGTGTGATATTTAGTTCAGTTTTCCCACCACAAACAACAAATACTGAAAAGATTTTTCTTTAAAAAGGTATTTATAGGCATCTATTAATACCCATATACTGACTACTTAAAGAGCTATATGAAGATTCAAAGCAAATCATTGTTTTAAAATACTCAGGTAACCTCACCCATGAAGCACTGACCTCTGAGGTTCTTTAGGATGTTCTCAACTTCATAAAAAGTAGCATTGCCCATACTTAGTGCTTCTTGGGCTCTGCTTTTCGCAAGGTTGGCACGGGAAAGCAGCTGACCTGATTTCTGTAAATAGACAGAACAAGATTAGAATAAGTGCATTCCTGCTGGCAAAATCACTCTGACACACTCTCTTCATGACAACAGAGCGCTGCAACTCCGTCTAGGGGTGCTGGAGCAAAGCCTCCACAACATGGGACAGAGCAAACTTCATCAGTGAGCACCATCTGCCATACAGTGAACTGTCCTCAATGCTAACTCCCCATCCATGACAAGAATAGTTTTGTAAATCACAATTTTAAACTCTTACTGAAGCCAAGCTAGTAGATGGACCAAAATTGGACCTAGAAGGCTTAGATCCTCTTCTCATGGCGGATTTAGTAGATGGAGATAATTACATTGAGATCTATGTCTCAGTTGCTCTCTCTTCAGAGAACTTTTGAGGGTTCTTCTAGCCATATTCCTAGATGGTGAACAACCAGTATATGCTTGTTGAATGTACTACCTGTATCCCATTCTTTCCGTCCTGTAGTAGCTGCTGGGTTTCTTTTTCCCAGTTTCCCAAATTGCTTTGCACCCGCTTGACCTCATCTGTACGCCTGTTCACCAGGCTTGAGAGAGAATCAATTTTCTGTTGGATCCTCTTTGCTTCCACCTGTGGGCCCAAAGATATAGATGAGTCTGACTTTCTGCTCACCAATAAGACCTTTTAGGGTCTGCCATCACTGTATGAAACCAGAAGTACTCTTACTAATGATTTTTATTGCTTTATTGAAAGGAACAGTTAATGTTTAATTGTTTGATCAATCTTGCATGCCTATATTTGTTTATTTAAGTAACCAATTTGAAGATAGCAATATGTAATACAACAACCATTGTTAACTTCCTAGCACCTTGTTTGAAATTCTGCATTGCTTGTATTGTTTTGGGGTTATTTTGTACATGTATGTGTGTTTGTTAATAATAAAAAAAAAAGAAGCCAAAAAATATGCCACCAGCCATCCAATCCGTATCTGACAAAAATAAGGCAACATGCCCAGCTGAAGTTAGGCTGCAGGTCCCCCAAGCATCAATCAGGTTTTGTCTTTGTTCTTTTCTTACTTTTTAAAAAAATTTACATATTAGCTTACGTATCCATGAGCATTGTTGTGAGTGATTTTTTCTATAGAGTAAAAGTTCATAGAAATAGACTGCACTTAATCTAATAAGTTTGGAATAGTTAAGGGAAGATTAAGGCAGAAACAATTCAAATCTCTTGATAACAAGTCTTCTCACTGGTGGTACATACAGATGCATCAACCTTTATAATAATTTCTCACAAGTTTCAACAGTCCCCAGAAGTAAGGAAGAGATATAAAACTTTTACTAATAGGTTGAGGATGAAAAGACCTTTGGAGAGACTAGGAGTTTAAGAACAAAAAAAGTGGATAATAAAAAGGATGAACATTTTTCCTGCCTTACAGGAGGAAGAATTAATACTATGGTTTGGGTATAAGTAGGGTCCTCTGTATGCTAAGGACTTGGTCCCCAGAAGGTGCTATTGGTGATGGTGAAGGCTTTGGGAGGTGGATCCTAAGGGAAGGTCCTTGGGTCATTAGGATTTGAGGTCAATTTGTGCCCTTAAAAAGAACTGTGCAACCCTGCCATTCTCTTCTCAATCTGTTCCTTGTTCAAGATGTGACTGTTTGCTCTGGCACAGCTCCCCACCATGCCATCTGCCATGCTCACCAGAACTGAGCCAACACAGAGCTTCCAAAGCCATGAGCTCAATAAACTTTTTTTCTTGATAAATTAGTTGTCTCAGGTATTTCACTGTAGTAATGCACAGCTGACTAATAGGGTCAACACATAGAAAAGCTGAATGGCTGAACAATATTAAGAAATCTCTAGAGAAGAAAGTGTTCACATGGCTTTGTCTATATACTGAGCATACCTGAAAGGATGGATCACTGACTCCATGAAGCTGAGACACTGAATCCAGAAGGCGGAGACTATGCTGATAAGACTGATCTGCTTCAGTGTCAGTCTGAGTGGCCTCCCTGGACAACTGCTGGGCCAGGGACTTGGTTTTCTCCAATCTGTGGGGAAGAAGGGGAGATGATTAAAAAGGAAACGGTCTTTGAGAATTTACTCTTTTTACAGAAGCAAAAACTCATACTCCTGCTTAAAAGTATGTAGTTGAAATAATGAGAAGAACCAATGAAGGTTATGTGTCAGGTATGAGACCTTCAACAATATAAACATATCCGTATAGTTGAATGAAAATCAGAAAAGTTCATCTCAAGATTCCTAATTATTGGGGCTGGGGATTTAGCTCAGCGGCAAAAGCGCCTGCCTAGCAAGCGCAAGGTCATGAGTTCGGTTCCCAGTACCGGAGAAAAACCAAAAAAAACCCCCAAAAAAAACCAAAAAAAAAAAAAAAAAAAAGATTCCTAATTACTGATAATACAATACATAACATTTTTATATACTTTATAATGTCAGATGTGTTTACACACACCCTTCTAATGCCACAGAGGGTAACCATCTCTACAAGAATTGCAATCACTCAATCAAAGCATAAACTTTATTTAGATTAATCACTAGGTCTTCTTCCAGTATTAAAGATATTTGCTTTGCCAAAAATATTATGCTCATTCTCTTGTCCCTGCAATTATTAACATTAGGAATAGCATACCAGAAACATCGTGCCTCTGAAGTATGATTTGCATTATACCCTGGGAGAATCCAGGTTTTATGGTCCAAACAAGGACCCATTGAAACATACTTTCCCGTAAGTCCTTGTACTGCACTGTTGTCAGTGATGGCACTTCCGACACCTCCCCTCACAGCCTTGCTGGCCAGTATTAAGGCCTGTTTAGAGTAATCCTCGGTTTCCCGTACAAGTTGCTCCATGTTACTGGCTGATTCAACATGGCTGAAAGGATTAAAAATAAAGAATTAGAATGTCCACAATAAAGGACCTCCTTAAGGATTTTCATGTAAATAAAGACAGAAGAGTAAAGGAACTGGCTTGGCTTAAAAAACTCGACAGAACTGGCCCAGATTGGATAAAATTAGAGGAACTATCAAGAAGCAGGTGTTTTGGAGGATAAGCCTCACGTCATAGACCTATGGTGGTCTTTTACGACAGACTCAGTGAGCAGGAGCAGTCTGAAGGTGACACAGCACCATTCCTGTTCACTGCAGGAAGAAACCCCTAAGATTTATTTTATCTATGGCCCAACTCTGTACTCCATCTCGCTGTGACTCTAAAACAGCCCCACAGCCAAGGGGACAAAGTCTGATTAAAAAAAAAAAAAAAAAATGTCCCTTATAAGCTTCTGTACTCTCAGTTCTAGGAAGTGATGTTTTAAAGAATAACAAAACACAGGCTCAGGAGGCAGGTCATGCTACAAAAACAGCCCCTTTCACCGAATGAATTCCACTTGGGATTAACAGAGCCTGCCACCCTGCTGAGCACTCTGCTACAGGCAAGCCTCGTAAACATGATAGGATTTACAGTCGGAGGCAAAGACCAAGAGAACAACCATTTACCCCTGGTGTACTGCAGAGCTGGTTTCCAGGACGAAGTCCCCCCTGTACACACATGGCCCTTCTAGGCTAGCAAGATACTTGTTGCTACTTGTTCCCAGGCTTGTTCTGGGAGGCTAAGAGTCCCCGAAAGCTGCAGAACATCCTTTTCCAAGGCTGATTCATTTCACCTGACCCAAGGGATTACATCTGACATACACCAAGGCCATACTGTGAGTCACAGAGAAATCTGGAGATGAAACACCCCTACGCCAAGCTCCTGCCAAATGACTCTGCCCAGTGACATGCACTAAAAGCCAAATGGCTAAAAAATGACTTTTAGGGAAGGGATGGCTTGTATGAGCACGAAGGGAATGACTATGGTACTTGGGTCCTGAATACCCTACAGTCTTGTTCAGGTTTGCCTTACAGGGATGGACTGGATCAGAGATGTCTTCTAATGCTGCTCACCTGTCTGCCAGCCGCATAGCCTCCTCAGCCAGATCTTTAAAGCCATTTGGTCCCACATATCGGTCAGAGGGAGAAATGTCCTATAGCAAGAGAAGAACTTGTGAAGGCTTTGCACTTGGCCGTGGAGCCTAACTATGGAGGTATGGTTCAAGTACCCACCCTGACACATCAAGCGTCCCTATTCACCATACTTACTCCATTTTAAAAAGTAGGTACAGAGAAGAGCAAAGTACAAATCCCAGCTCAAAAGATGTCTGTATAAAGATATAGAAGTATTAAATATATATATATATGTGTGTGTGTGTGTGTGTGTGTGTGTAGTTTGGCATGATGGCACACTCTTGTAGTCTCAGCACTCTAGGGGGGGAGCATGGCCTGGGTAATGTAGTGACTTAGTGAGACCCTGTCTCAAAATAAAAAATAGAGAAAGGGCTGTGGGTGTAGCTCACTGTGAAGGCCCTGAGTTAAATCCCCAGTATGGAGGAAAAAAATATGTACATACACATGTGCATGTACAGTATATGTATTTAAAGTCCAGTAACATCAAGTTTAACAGCAGTTATTTAATAGTAATGGCACCATAGGGAATTTTTTAATTGTCTGCATTTTCTACAATAACTTTTTTGTAATAAGGGGAAAATCAATACACATTTTTAATGTGCTTTCTTTATCATATCATCTGATTATCTCCTAATTTCCTTTCTTCATTTCCTATCCACTTCCATTACTGTCACGAGACTTTATTCAGAAAGAGAAGAGGACTCCATCAGACCTCTCACTTCTATCACAGTGTAAACCACATCATTAGGAAAAGCATGCTAGCAACCACTTTTTTCCATTGTCAGAACTACTGTATGACTTCATTGGCCTACTTCCTGCCTTCTTTCTTTCTTTCTTCCCTTGCTCCCCTTTCAATCATTCATTCATTCATTCCCCGATTCATTCATTCATTTATGCAGCGGGGATTTACAACGGCCTCACTGTGGGCTGAGAATGCAAACTGAACAAAACTAAATCCTGCAAAAAGAAGAAAGGAGAGACAGGGTCCAGTTAAGGACATGGTTGGAAAGAAATGAACTAGGGAGGAGAGTACAAAGCACCAAATAGGAAATTTCAGGCCAAAGATACACAGAATAGGTTTGACTGTTACAGGGAAGGGAAGTCCAACTTCCTGCCAGATAGACCAAAAACGCTGAGAGGCAGCAAGCAAAGCAGTGAAGTCACAAGTGGGTCTCTGAACATGGCGGCAGCAATTCTCAATGCTATCACCCGTACCGAGTTTCTCAGGGAAGCTTCGTTTTCAGCCAGGCTCAGGCGCATCTGTGCGATGAGCTTTCGAGTGTCCTGAACTCGGTTCTGATACTGACTTCCCAGGGCCTGAACCCTTCCCATGGTCCTCTTGAGGTCATCCAGGCGGTCCCGGTAGCTGTTTTCTTGGCCCCTTGCCTTGGCCAACTGGAGACTGAAGGATCTACTAGCACCTGGACATGAAGAAGGAAAAGGAGGTTGAGCACTTTCCAGGTCAGCATCCAGTTATGTCACCTGACAGGGAGTTGCCTAGTTTATGGCAAATGATAAAACCCATAGGTGAGAAACGCACACCACTGCTCTTTCATCACCTTCATTCAGGTCCAGGGGACCGTCCCAGGGGACCATTCCATCCCCCTGGGCACAGGCTGCTGGAGGCCTCCGCTGAACCGATGTCCACAGAAGCTTCTGGGACTCAGTGCAGAGATTCTCTCCAGGACATGATCCACCTCCTGTCTGAAGGGAAGCTGGCCTTCCTCACCTTCCGAAATCTGGGCTTCTCTCAGAATGTCCTGAAGGGCCTGCTCAGCCTGCTGCAGCCTGCCTTCCAGCTCTGAGTTGGGTACTGTGCCACTGCCACCCTGTGCCTTTGAAATCAGGGCCTCCAGGCCCTGAAGCTGTTCCATAAACTGAGCCATCTGAAACCAGGCAGAAAGAAGATCAGAATAAAGGATGAAGACCATGGCCCTATACCAGGTACCCAGGAGATAGGACCTGAAAGTCCAGGAATAACCACAATGCTTGACAACACCATGGTGGTTGAAATTTATAGCCTGTGTGAATCCTGGCCCCACTATCCTACTTGTGGAGTCATGGCCAAGCTATTTCTTTATCTATGAAGCAGATATAATGAACACAATAACATTATCTCATAGATTTATGACTTGTACTAAATGCATTCTTATTTATAAAGTGCTTAGAATGAAGCCTAGCACCAAGAAAGTGCTGTAAGTCTTGCTAGATAGATAAATTTAAAAAACAAGATGAATGTATTCTACATTTGAAGTTATGTTTTGGATCTTTTTATCTCCTATCCCTCAGTCCAGAAAAATAATAATTACTAATGTCAACAGCATCAGGTCTACTCTACTTTGGACCATAAATGAGAAATTTCTGGAGGCCATAATCCTGCTTGGATAGCCTGGACCCTTCCTGGACTATACAAACCTTTGATATGTGTATTTTCTGCATTTGTTTCATAAGGATATCTTCTGGGAAAAAAATTTAGCCAGAAAGGGCATGTTACAGCAGCAGGAGCCCGAATTCAGAGCATGTAGGGGACAGAGTGACCTCCCAGCTTCACCTGGCCATACCATTTCACTTTCACAGACTTTATGTGACTAGTAAAAGCTGAGCTCAAACATTTTCTCTTCCAACTCAACTAAGTTATCCTGTGGACCAAATAAGAGGTACCTGCAAGAGGGGGGTCTGGGAATGGCATGTGTAGGAAGACAAATATTATTGTTGCTATAAAGATTTTTAATACAATAACTTTTAAAGAAAGACACTGATGGGAGGTTACTACCTCCCATCTCCAGGAGATGGTAGGGGGCCTCGATCTGTGATGGAATCGTCCAGGGGACACTTACAGATTGGAGTCTGGGTGGGTGGGACGGGTAAGGAGAGGAAGGCCCACCTGAGTATTCACTTGACTGTAGCAAGCTGGACAGTTGGGTAATGCTCTGTGCTCACAGTTGAGGCCACCAAATCCTGGCTTGCAAACACAGCTGCCGTCACTCCGACACTGTCCAGGCTCCGAACCCACAGGGTTGCAGTTGCAAGCTAGAGAGGAGAGACAGACAGATGGAGAATTCATATCTACCCTGTCCCAGAAACTGGAGGTATAGCAAGAATAAAAGCAAGAAGAGCAAATGTCAGTGGCAAAACCCCTTCTTTGCCCTCCTCACTCACTCTGTGTCAGAGTCGTCCCTTGGCTATGCCTCCAGCACATTCCTAACCCAGGTCACCCTCAGGACTCACCTCCCTGTTTGCTTAGTGTATGTGGGTGAAAAGGTATCACAACAGTTCCTCCTCTTTTCTTCTCAGTAAACTATAAGTCTGGTGACTATTCTGCTAGAATCTGGCTTTGCTTACAAGGTGAACAGCATTTCTTTGGCCTATTAAGCACTAGATGTAAACATCTTCCTTGGTTTTACAGATAAGGAAAGGGAGCTCAAAGAGGGTGAATAATTTGCCCAGTGTGCTACAGCAAATAAACAAGAAGCTTCCACTGGAGCTAAAAAAGAGCAAAGAGGTTTTCCTTTTGCTCTGTAGCCTTTGATGTAGGAAACTGAATAAGAAAGCAATACCGTTACTGATTCAATCAAATTTATTGTTCACCTAGTGTGTGCCAGGTTCTATTTTAGGAATCAAAGACGTAACAGTAGATGAGACACTGCTATAACGATTACAGTGATTCTCTGGGTTGTTCTATCCTTAGCATTCACAAAACACTGATCTCAAGTCTAACTGTACCATCATTATTTGCATGCATGTTTGTGTATCTTCCTTATTAGCATATAAGTTCTTTGGGTGCTGGAACTGATTCATCCATTATTATAATCTTAGTATCTAGATCCACACTATGTACACAGTAGGTGCTTCATAGATGAATATATGTCTTACACCAGGCATGATAGCACATACCTGTAATCCTAATATTCTGAGAGGTGAGACAGGAGAACCATGAGTTAGAGCCCAATCTGGGCAACTTAGGGCCTTTGTGAGATCTTGTCTCAAAATAAAATATAAAAGAGCTCAGGATTCAGCTCCATACAAAGTCCCTGGGTTCAATTCCCAGTACGGAAAAAAAAGAAAAGAAAACAAAACAAAACAAAAAACGAAAGAAATATATGGTCCAGCCAAGCGTGGTGGCACACACCTGTAATCCTAGCACTCTAGAGCCTGAGGTAGGAGGATCATTGCCAGTTCAAGACCAGCCTGGGCTACAAAGTGAGCTTAAGGCCAGCCTGAACTGCATAGCAAGACCCTATCAGAAAAAGGAAAAAAAAAAAAAAAAAAAAAAAAAAAAAAGAAAAGAAAAGAAATATGTGGTCTAAAGCCAACAAAACCTCTATTAATGACCCCTTCTAGCTAGAAGTATGTAGAGTTTCCAGTGTGCTTTCTTACATTCCATTTTGTTTTATCTTTACAACCATTTTGAGTTAAATACTATTCGCACATGTGAGGACTCATTAGCACGACCAGCACCATTCAGTAGGTATGTTACCAAACTGGACTTGAGCTCAGTATCGAGAAAAGAGCTGAGCATGAGGACTGATCTGCACACTTATGCTTTGATCTGAAGCAGCCCTTACGAAGGCTCCATGATAGCTGCTGCTTTGAAGTGGGGTCTCCTTTGGAGAACTTTCAACATTGCCTTGTATGGATCAATTACACTCACTTGCTGAGGGTCTCTTGAACTTCCTTCCAACCAGCTCCCCTCCCTGGTTGAGTTTGCTCAGGCTTAGTCTGGAGTCATTTATTACTCTCCTACAACAGCTCTGGCGCCCACTCTCCTGCCTGCCTGCCTTGGGAGTGGGCATGGGCGGTCACTCCATTTTATCTCCTCTTCCACTTAGAAATGTAAACCTGACCTTTTTCACTTCTCCCACCAGCTCTCACCATTCGAAAGCCTCCAGCCATGTGTGCTACAGCCCTGTGCAGGAGAAACTGTGTTAAGGCCTCTGACAGGTGACAGGTGCAGGCTGTTCATAGGCCACTTTAGCTAGAGAACTAAAGTTGCATTATGGTATGAACTGCCCTTGCCCTACCTTCGCTTACACGTGGACACACTCGCAGGCTTAGGTATGCACACATGCACACCAACGCAACTTGTCTGGGGGGCACTCCTACCTCGACACTTGTTGGCTGGATTAGGAGCCAGTGGGTCTCCAAAGTATCCCATCTTGCACTGGTCACAGTTGAAGCCGGCTGTGTTGTGGATGCACTTCAAACACCGGCCTGTCAGCCGGTCACAGTTCCCGGAGGCGCTGGGGTCCACGTTGTTGTTGCACTGACAGGGCTGACAAGGCCTCACTGGGCCACGCTCCCCAAAGGGGTCCCCAAAGTAGCCATCAGCACAGAGCTCACAGCGGGCACCTGGGAAGGAACAGAGGAACAAATGGCCCAGCTGTCACTGGCAGCAAGACCAGACACAGAGGCCTAAATTAGCCAGATGCCCCATGGAAGAGCCGGGAAAATGTGCTTCCCCCTGAACCCCAAAACAGTATCCTCGGGAGCAGGTGAACACGGCAGGGCTTGGTGCTGTTCCTCCATGGCCACTGCGATTTGAGAGCACAGCACTCCACTGGGAGGCTTGACTAACTGGTTGGGAAAATACCAGCAGCAACACAGAAGTGGTGAGATTTTGAGCAACAGGCTGCTACTGAAAGATGAACTCTGCTAGGCTGACAGGCAGAGGGATGTGACATCTGAGAGGCCACTGCACTTTCCTTCTTTACCTTGAGTCATTAACAAACAAATTAAACCCTGTATTTGATCAGTGAACTACATCTCCTAAGCGAGAATCTTCCAATACTGTGCTAGGTGTTTCTTCTTGTAACCGTGCGCCCTCTCCTTGCTCCATCCACATCACCCCTTTAGAATGAGCACGTTTAGATTAACCCGAAGTAACTTTAATTTCCTAGGAATTCCTTGGGATGAGAGCTACTGACACGAATTCTGACATCGGGATGGGAAGAAGCCGGCCCGTGGCCTTACCAGTGACCCCCGTGGGGCAGTTGTTGCACACCACCTCCTCTGTCTCCGGCATCACGGAGCAGCTGAACCCATTGTGACAGGGGCATGGCTTGCAGCTGCGGGGGTCCTGTGGATCATTGTAGAAGCCAATGGGACAGTCGGCACAATCGATGTCGGGATTTTCATCCCCTGAATAACAATCTCCTGGGAGGCCGAAGGAAAATGGAGGGGCAGAGAAATGAGCCGGGGCAGACAATACACTCGCATTAGTGAGTATGGTGTGTGGGACTCAGAGTGCAGAAACCTCAAGCCTTCCTTTCTAAAGCATTCTCCCATTCTGAGCACCTTCATCCCCGCCTTTCCACCAATCAGAAGACTGCCAAGATGCTGAATCTTACCCTCACTCTCCTGTGAAGTAGACACACACCTCCTTTACTATCCACCACTTAACACCGCTCCCCTGTCCTCCACGGCCAGACACCATTTGTTGGCCCATTCATTTTAGACCCTGACTTGCCTTTGATCTCCCCAAACAAATCTTGCAACTCGACACCAACCCCTACTACCTTGCACTGAACCATGACAGCCATTTCCTGCAACCTAACACCTTTCTCATAACCTCTGGCATTTCCATAATGAGAAGGATTGAGTGTAATAAGGCACTGTGTCCATCTTCCCTAACTCCAGCCCTATTGTCCCTAATCCTTTCCCATCTAGGAAATGAGTTCAAGCATGGTATTTCTTACTCAAATCTGCCTTTCCACAGGCCACCCGCCCGCCCCCCAGCCACCTGGTCCAGGTATCACTTCACTTACCTGTGTCTGGATCACAGGCCCCTCCTCCTTGGCAGTTACATGGAATACAGGTGCCAAAAGGCCCCAGTTTTGCTGAATCTCTTTTATAGCCGGAAGCACAATCCTGGCAGAACTGCCCCTTGTACCCAACAGGACACACACAGTGTTCCACCCAGGGTGCTGGAGCTCCAGAGACGGGGCGGGCCGAAATCAGGGTCACATTGTCAATATACCCAGTACCTGCAATAGACAGAACAGGTTAGAGGAAGCAAGTGGTAAGGCCTAAGGATGCTCTTTGGATTTTATTTTCATTAGCTCCTGGACAGGTGGTATCCACACATCACGTCCCCTAGAGGGGTATAGCTCACAGTCCAGCATGGGGACTAAATACACATACTCTGGAGTCAGGAAAATCAGCAGTACACTTCTGGCTCCATCCTCATGAGCTGTGTGAATTGAGCAAATCAGTTAATCTCTTCATGAATGTTTTTCCTCCACTGTAGAAGAGAACATTGGTATTTCTCTCCTATATTTGTGAAAATTACATGGTACAGCGCATATTATAATGCATTGAGCATATTGTGTTAATAAACGCCTTTTCTAATGGAAATGGTATGAATGCTAAAAGTCTTAAGAAACTCTCCTTTCAATAATTCCAGTGGGGCTGGGTGTGATGGCAGATGACTGTAATCCCAGCACTCGGGAGGCTGAGGCAGGAGGATCATTGCGAGTTCAAGACCAGCCTGGGTTACAAAGTGAGCTCAAGGCCAGCCTGAACTGCATAGCAAAACCCTGTCTCAAAAAGACAAATAAATAAAAAATAAAAGTAAAATAATTCCAGTTGGAATTAAAAGGCTCCAACATGTACTAGGAGGTTGAAGCGGGAAGGTGACAAGTTCAAACCCAGCCTTAGCAAGACCCTGTCTCAAAATAAAAAATAAAAAGGGCTGTGTACATAGCTCAGTGGGGAAGCCCTGAGCTCAATGCCCAGTAGTAAAAACAAACAAACAAAAGCCCCAGCATGCAAAGTTCAAAAAAGGGAAATAAGAGAATACATGAAGATGTTCAAACATGGAAGCATTAGGTATAATTCCAAAAGGAAAAGCCACTCAGGGAATAAATAGGGCCATGTAGATGCCATTTTCCAGATAAGGAAATGTGTCTGTTTTGTCGATTATTTCCTTCAAATAATTAACTTTAGTAGAAATTCAGAGATTCTTTTAGTGAGGTGGCATCATTCATTGTTCATTGATGTTGACCTCTTTTTAGACAAACATTTCTTTTAGAAACCTCCGAAATGTAATAATTTAGATTCAGTTAGACTCTATGTAAAAACTATCAGGTAATTTTTCTGTTTGTTTGGAGACTGCCACCACCTGAGACAGCTGAAGCAAATTAAACTAAAGCCCAAGAGAACTTCATGTCTCCTAGTCCCTTACTGTACTCTCCGTACGTAGCTCGGATCCGGAGGGCTGTGAGGTTCCGCAGTAACCTTCGATACTCAAAATAACTCAGCTGGGGGCTCCAGTTACTGCTTGGGTGTTCGTTTAATCTGTACAATTTAAAATTAAAAGCAAATTAAAACCCAACCCAGATCACATTGCTACCTGATACAGATTATACCTGAGAATGTAGGAAGAGCTAAGTCTCCTGGCTATCCTACCAAGAGTGGATGAATGGCGGGTAGCTTCCTTCTCATAGGCATAGACTTGGAGCTTTCTCCCTCACAGGAAAAGCTAAAACCCACAGCATCCATGGAGGGCATGCAGCAGCGGAAAGTCTAGCTCCAGCAGTCACACCACCTGAAGTGATGTTGGTCCCAAGTCCTTAGATACCACTCTTTCCTCTTGCTCATGCAAAATCTAACGTGAGAAACATCTTGGAGTTCCAGAACTGCAGATCCTCAACAACTACGATTCACTTGGGGTTTGGTTTTGAAATGATGTGTTTATCATCTCAGCACATTTCACTTTGCCCAAATCAGTTTCTATCTTCTTCACTGTCTATATCTAACACTTCTTAAAGGGTCACTGTGTCATGATATCACTAGTCCTTGCACTATTCTGTTAAATCTTGTTTTGTTTTTTACTGAAAAATTGCTTTCAAGAACAACCCTACATCTTCCAATGGTCCAGGCAAGGACCTACTTGAACTCTCCTCCAATGGTTATTCTCCAATGGCTACAAATCCTCCAACGGTCAGCCATCACACTTGACCATGACACTTTGCAATTTATAACCTCTCAGTGGCTTTCCACCACCCTTCTGGCACAGACACCATCTAAGCATCTTGGCATCGCGTACAAGGCTACCGTCCTTTTCCAGTCTCTTCAATCTCGTCTACCCGTCTCCCCTTTATGTGCTGTGTTCCAGCCATAAATACTGGTTCTTGTCTATATTATGCCTTTCCACATGTCCACAGAAATTCACATGTGGAGATTGTCCTCGGACCTTTCCTCCTGATGTGCACCTGTCTATTTTCAGCCCACGCGTTGCCTTCTCTCGAAAGCTTTCCTTGACTCTTCCAGGTAGATTTGGCTCTTTTCAAGACCCCATGAAAATGTCCCACCATAAAACAGCTATTGTAATCTGTTCTGCTTGTTTGTGTGTGTGTGTGTGTGTGTGTGTGTGTGTGTGTGTGTGTTATATATTCCACTAGACTGCAAGCTCTTACAGGACAGATACCATATTTCATCTCCCCTGCTTAACCTCTAATGCAATACTGAACACTTAGTAGGCACAGATTCCTTCTCTGGCCCCTCAAACACACCATTCAAATCCCCATGTATAAGAGCAGTCTCCACAGATACACACCAGGCCATCCTTGACCACGCCTCCTACCGTATTCCCCTTTCCTGCTCTCTGCTCCACTCATGCTCAACTACTGGGGGTTTCTTAAACTCACAAAAACTCAAGCAACATTTCCTTTGCCTCATTAACTGTCCCCCCTCTTCTTTCCTGAAGGCTGCTCTTCACACTTGTGTCCACTTGGAAAGCTTCCCTCAGTCACTCAAATGCAGGTCAGTTGTGTGCACGTGTGTCCAAAACACCTGTGTCCACCTCTCTCCATCACTTGACAATCTGCACTGCTATCATCTGTTTACTTGCTCTCCCACTAGCTGTCAGCTGCTGAGGAAAGGAGCGATATCCTGTCTCAGCACATAACACCATGCCCACTGAGTAACAGATCCTCAGAGAAGCTCACTGAATGAATGAATGAATCATGGCTATGGAATGAACAAAGGAGTAGGACTTCAGCCACAGTGTGTTCTATTTGTTCCACTTGTGATCTCTCTTTTTTACCTGAATGTGTAAGTCTTGGTAACTCCACAGGGCAGTATCTTCCCATGTGGAATCAAGGGAGCTGTGATCTGTAGACCGGCACCTTCCAGGATCACATCATGAGCGGATGAGTGTCTGCCTCCCCTGTCCACACGGTAGTCAAAAGACAGGCTTTGCCCATAGCTCACCTGCTGATTCCCAAGGAATTTGGCTGTGAAACAGAATCGTTAAAAAGGTCACTCGTGAAGCTAAAAAGGCAACACATGCAAGTTTGCATCGATGTGTGCTATTTCTGTTGGAATCTCATGCTACCCACCCACCCTCCTGCCCCAAACCACCCTAGCAAATGCATTGGTGCACAGCACTGGACGGGGCTGCACCGCTTTGGCTGTGAAGCAGGGTTAGTGACTGAACCGCTAAATTGGCCTCACTGTAAGACAGATCCATCCGCTAGATGGGCCATAGCATGGCCCTTATGACTGATACAAAGATCCCAGAATGCTTTCATAAGCACCATCACTTTTGATGGCCATGATTCTTGAAGGTTAGCATTCCCACTCCCATTTAATTGTTGAGACATCTGAAGTTCAGAGAGGTTAAAAGAACAACTTGCTAGGAACCCTTTATTAGCTAAGGATATAAAATAGGATTAGAATTCTAGCTAGAGCTTCTCTGGCCAGGCACATATCACTGAAATGTATATCCATTATTCATAAATGTTTAAAGCTTTAAGAACGTTTTGCTTTTTCTTTTCCATCTGCTTCTCAACAGAGCCACACAATATACTGTAGTTTTTTATTTCTTACCTCAGTGGAAACTTAGACACTTCCTATTTAATTAAAGTAGGAACCCCTCCAGGGTCTGATCTCCAGGACATCCCCTTCTGTCCTAGAGTGCATGTTGCAGTGACCCAGCTGACTCCTAGGGATACTGCCATCCTGAAGACCAAGGTATGTGGATTTCACATTTTCTAACTTGGATTTTCGATCCTGACTTCCTAACTGTATACAGTGACTTCTATAAGAAACATTATCCCTCGCATACCAGGGGCCACAAAAAAGACAGGGTCTCTCCGGGCTGAGGTGTATGCATCCTGGTGACGCTGCGACCAATGGAGCTTTGCAGAAGACCCGTTTCTTTGGACAGCCCTCCAGCCATCAACATCTGGAATACAGACAAAACCACTCTGCATCACAGACAAATCTTCTTGATCCACAGGGCTAAACCAGGCCAGGTTGTGCGCCCAGAAGGCCGAGTGGTGAGAGGAGCAAGGGGCTTTCTGTGTTTGCACTTTCTTTCCGGGGGCCACAGCTCCCCGTGTGCTTCTCTGCTTAGGGCTGCACTCCCCTGCTCCCAGCCTACAGCTGCTCTCACTTCTCAGCTTCAGATCTGATTCCTGTGATAAGACAGCATGTTTTCATCTGCTTGAGATTCGGATTTTTATTGTATTTACATGAACGAGACCGGCCTTAGTGAGGTGAATGGCACCATTATATTCAAACAGAAACTCAGACTAATTGAAATAAGATCAATTCCCAATATATTATATTACCCTGTAGCTTGGTCACTAATTTCAGATACATTAACATTTAATATATGTAAAAGCAGTGTTACCAGTGGATGTGGATCCCAGGGGAACTCTCAGAAACCCCCTAATCCAAATGAATTGTCCTTTCGCACTTTCAAATACAATTTCTTTTGTTTGTTTGTTTAGGAAGTAAGCTTGAGCCTTGTGCATGTTGTGTCTCCCACCTTTATTTAAAATTTGATTTTGAGACAGGCTCTCACTGGAACGTGTGATCTTTCTGATTCAGCTCCCCCAAAAGCTAGGATTACAAGTGGGTGTCATTGCCCCCAGGTCTTTATGTGTTTAGTGTTTTTTGTTTGTTTGTTTTCTTCTAGTACTGGGACTGACCCTGAGGCCTCACACAAGCTAGGCAAGCTCTTTCTTTTGTATTTTTGAAAGAGACTCGGGAAGGAAACTCAGGGAGATAAAAAGCTAGCCTCTTTTCAGTTATTTTAAAAATCAGTTGCTCAGCTATAACTTTTTTAAGACATCAGGGTATCAGGAGATGGATGGCGTGGGGAGGAAGATAGAAAGGGAAAGGGATATAAAAAAGGAATTAAGGTGCCTTATGTACAGGGACCAGTTCCTCAGGAGGAATGTAACACTATGTACTATGAATGTGTACTGTTTTCTTTAAAAAGATTCCTTTGAAGAAAGAAATCCTACAGGAGAATTGCTAAAGATGACTGGCCATGTATCCTGTAGATGGGGAGGTAATTATAAGTGCAAGACCCTCCCCGTGCACACTAAAAGCACGACCCTAGAGAACAGAGCACCGTACCTCGCTGGAAGGTAGATGTGATCTTATGCACACTGTAGTCTGCGGAGCTGCGGCAGCTGGCTGAGTGGCCATAGCAAAAACACTGGGTACAACCCTCAGGATTTTCCGCATCCAGATGATAGTAACCTGGTCGACACCTGCAGCAATGTTTTAGAAATCAACATAATATTGTAGGTTATTCCTTCTTCCATTAGAGAAAACAATGGCTGGCTCAGCCTCTTTTTCTTTTCTCTCCCACCCAGTCCTACTAATTTCCTGAGGAGGGAAATGGCAAGTTTCACACAACCCCTCCACTGATGTCCACCTGATGGACAATCACAGGAACTGTGAGGAGCTTTCCTCACAGTGAGCGTTGTGAGGAAAGTTTATCGTCTCTCCCTCGGGGAAGCAGAACACACTTGCCTTGGTGGTCCAGACATTCAGGGACAGACCATCCTCGGTGATGGATGGAGGTCACTGGGCGGGCTGCGGAGGGGTGGGCCAAGGGTATGCAGAGCAGCCCCAGTCTGGAGTAAGGGTTTATTGAAAAGTAGGGCCCAGGAAAGGCAAGGCTCCTGTCTTATCAGCACAGCTGAGCCACAGGTCATTAGGTGCTGATCACCACCCCTGCCCCTCACGGCTGGCTGTGGGCCATGGGAGAAAGGGCAGAAAAGGACAGCCAGGACACAATGCAGCTCTGCTCCCAGCCCAGTCCTGCCAGAAGCTTCTCAGAGGACTAACAGGAGGCGGGTCTTAGCAGTGGGGACAGCAGGAAAGAGGGCAAGGGAGGACTGGTTCCATCTCTGTTCAACTTAACTACCTCTTTGCACAAGGAATAATGATGGTTTTGAAGATCACTTACTTAGCACTTATGTTGTGCCAGGCACATATATACTCTCTTATTTAATCTTCCCTACAATCCACGAGTTGGGAATTGTTATTTCCAATTTTCCTAGATGAGGAGACCAATGAGGTTAAGAAAAGTATCTGTGGTTGTATCCTCAAGTGCTAAGGAAAGATTCACATGCACGTCCCCCTGCCTCCAAATCATGTAGTCTAAGCTGCTGGACCATCAAATATTGGAGTATGTTCATTCTGCAGTAGCACAGAAAAGCAGGCTAAAAGCATTTGGTTTTTTCCTCTAAAAACATGGCTTAAAAAGATTCATTATGGTTCTATAGAGAGGAAAACTGCAGATGAAAAGAGATTTAAAAACAAGGAAAGAGCCAGGTGTGGTGGTGCACGCCTGTAATCCCAGCACTTGGGAGGCTGAGGCAGGAAGATCGTTGTGAGTTCGAGGCCAGCCTGGTCTACATAAATGAGTTCAAAACCAGCCTGAACTGCATAGTGAGACCCTGTTTCAAAAAAAGACACACACAAAGAAAAAATACAAGGAAAGAAGGAAGGGAAGGACGGATGAAGGGATGGAGCAAGGACGAAAGGATAAAGGATGAGAAAGAACAAAGCAAAGCTAAATGGCAGTATTTCAGGATGCACAAGGACAGTACTGGCGGACCTATGGCACATGTGCTGTAGCGGACTTTTGTATCATTGAACACTCTAAAAGGTTTGCCATTATGTACTAGGATAACAAATTATGAAGAAAAGCAAGGAAGTGATTAACTACCTTAAAAGCAAGAATCATGGTTACTTCTAGGGGCCCCGGATGTCACTGGGGTGGCAAAGAGTAGGGGTAAAACGTAGAGGTCTGCTTCTTATTGATAATGATCACATTTGTTTTATGTAGCCTTCTATTTCATATTTTAAAATGTTACGGGCTTGTAAAAAGTGGCTAGCTCTCCTTACCCTCACCTCCACAGCAAAGAACCCCCTAAAAACACAAGGTAGGAATGTATTTGGTATTTCCTCCACCAAGGCAGGAGTGACTGGCAGGGTGCCACAGAACTGCTTTCTTCTTTTAAGGAAATGAGGAAGAAGTTTTTACCTCTGGGTCCAACCTCACAGCGATCTCAGAGGAAAACAGTTTAGTCCAAACACAGCTTGCCCTTAAGGACTGTCCTGCAGTGACAACTGGGGGTGGGTGGCTTCTTGCTCCTCTTCCATCCCCCACACAGCTCAGGCCCAAAGGGCTCTTCGTCGTGCCCTGGATCATGTGTGTGCATGTAGCCACCATCCCATCCCCGGGGCGTCTCCTTTTCAGTGCACGATGGTTATATATGGCCATATGCAGCGATACTCCCTCTTAGAGGATCTTCCCAACATGTTTAATTAGGCCAGGCGTTTCCCAAGATCAGCCTAAGTCATGTGATCTCATTATTGCATACCACCCTGTATCTGAGCACCTGGGATCCGGAGCCAGCTGGCAAGGGGACTCTCCGGGGCCCTTAGCCTCTGTCACAGTAAAAACAAAGAGAAGGAGCCCACAGCAGAATGTGGAGTACAAGGAGTTTGGGGGCTTGGTTATATTTTTTAAAGGCCAATTTTTGAAGACAGAGAGCAGGGAGAAGAGCCTTGGCCATTTGTTCAGGATCCCTTTCCTTCATTGCACCCGGAGGATTCATTCTTACGCCGGTTGCCAAGGCCCTCCCGTGCCCTCCCACCTGTAGAGATGTGGCTCACGTACCCGTTGCAGCGCTCTCCGGTGACAGCTGGTTTGCACACACAGTGGCCAGAGTCACACGGCCCTGCAATGCCAGCTGGGTCACAGTCACACTTGAAGTCTCTGGGAAAGAAAAAAAAAGAAAATTAGGAATGGATTTCCAAATGCTCCGCCAGGGCTGGGGACATAGCTCAGTGGCACAAGTGCCTGCCTAGCAAGCACAATGGTCCTGAGTTCGATTCCTAGTAACAAGGAAAACAAAAATGCTCTGCACCAGGACACACAGATTGACTGCTCGTAAGCAAGTGCCACCAAGCTGAACAAGGCTTTCTTCATGCGGCTTCACCTAGTGACACTCAGCCACGCTGATCTCTCCACACACTTCAGGACTCCAGTGTCTATACCAGTGCCACTCAGAGTGGTCCATGGGTGGCAGCCCGTCCCTGAACTGTTTGCTACCCAGCCCCCAACAAGAGGTTTGTGCCAGAAGGTAAACTAAGTTCATTATTAAACTGTTTAGCTTAGTTTGGTCAACTGTTTGGTTGATTTTTTAAAAAAAAGATTTATTTGTGTATTGATGTCTACTTTTATTACGGTTGATCCCATCCACCTGCTATTTTAGTTTGTTCAGTTCTTTCGTTTAATGACATCTCTCCTGAAATATAATTCCTGTGCTGTGGGATTCATTCCTGTAAAGCAAACACTTCAATGGTTTTTAGTCAGTTTGAGTTGTACAACCATCACTATAGCATCGATTTTTGCACACTTTGGTCTTGTATCCTTTAGTAGTCACCTTCTGCCCCTGTTCCCCCTTCCGGCCCCTCTTAGCCCTAGGCACCTGCTCATCTACTTTCTGTCTATAAGTTTCCCTATGCTGGACACTGCCCACTAATGAAATCCTGTCATCTGTGGTCTGCTGTGATTGGCTTCTTTCATTTAACATAGTCCTTTCAAGGTTTATCTCTGTTGTGTCATTCTCCAGAACGTGTATTATGAGGACTGAATAAAATTCCACTGCATGAATATGCATATTTTATTTATCCATTCATCAGATGATAAAAAGTTTGGTTGTTTTCCCTTTTTAGCTATATTATGAACAATGCTTGCCTGAGCATTTGCATATAAGTCGTGCAGATGTATACGTGTTAGCTTCCCTTGGATAGATACCCGGGGTGGAACTGCTGACTTTGGGTGGCTTTCATTTTGTTTTACCAGCAAGACTCTCAGTGGAAGTATCAGTGCTTCCCCGTGACTCTGGCACAATTTCCCCGTCTCGTGGTCAGCACTGACCTCTGCCACCCATCATGGCTACAGTCACACAATTACCTCACCTGTCTGAAGCTCAGGTTTGCTTCCTTTTCCCTACTGATTTCCTTTCCCTACTCTTTGACTTCATCCAAGTTCTGTTCAACCCTGGAGCCTTCTTGACTCCTTCCTTTCTGCACATTCCCCATCTTATCAGACCCTAGGTCCCGCCAGGCTCACAGTCATGGCCAGAATTCCTTTCCAACTCCACAGTCTCCTCCCTGTCTCAGCTCCCTCCATACCATGTGTCTGAACGGGTCAACAAGTGCATACTCAGCATCTGCTTTGGGCTAAGAACCAAAGACACTGAAAGAGGTAGAATTCACCTGTCTCACCTTGGGTACTCAGGCAAGGCAAATGTGTGAATAGCAATGGCGAAGTGCGGCACGGCTTTGTGCCAGGAATTGTGTTCCAGGTGGGACAAGGCCATGCACGCGTGGCTTCTCTGAAGGACAGGAAGGCTGCTGTGGTTGGAGTGGGGAGCCAGAATGATGGGAAATGGAACAGAGCTGTGTGCAGAGGGCAGGAGCACCTTGCGGGGTCCCACGGGCCTCCATAAGAAGTTCCCATCTCCTTCTGGGTAGGAAGGAGCGCCCATGGAGTGATGTGACGTGGTCTACTTCGCAATTTAAAATGGTTGCACAGGGGAGTTGCTGGGGATGTACTTAAGGGTCCAGCACTTGCCTAGCATGCCCAAGGGAATGGGATGTTACTGAACCAGGCTCACTGTCAAGCTTTTTTTCCCAGAGTCCACCAAATATTGTAGCCATGTGGCATTCCAAGGGGGAAAAACAAAGTCACTTTTTTCCTTTCTGTGAATTCACAGCTGCAAGTCGCCCAATTTTAGAGTGCCATTTAAAGGGGCTGCATGTGGGGAGGGAATTAACATTTCCGTTTGTTTCAAAATATAGGCTCAGTGGCCCAGTGCCTGCCTGGCAAGCACAAGGTCCTGAGTTCAATTTCAGATACAAAACAAAAGTTTTTTTAAAAACCTCAAAATGTAGGCAGGGCTACTCAGAGCTATATAGGTTCTTATTGTTCATAATCACAATCCCACCCCTTAGGGTCAGTGTGAGGATTAACTTAGATGACACCCATGAAGCTCTCGAGGCAGTGTTTGGCACACGACAGGTGCTTAGTAAAGGAGAGGGATCGCCAGTGTTAGTGTAATGTCATTGTCCCCATCCGAGACAGCACTGGGGGGTCTGGATACTCACAGTCGTCTCCGGTCTTGGGTGCACCCCGCATCAGTGAGCGTGTGGAAGCCTGGCAGACATCGGTCACACCTGTCTCCTGTCACACCTGGCTTACAGGTGCACCGTCCAGTGTTGTCACATCGAGGACTGAGAGAACCTATAATCCACAGGGGGGGAGAGAGAGAAGAAAGTACTCATAAGGGCTGAGGAAGCAATGTCCACCACGGGAGCGCAATGCGCACTAAGTGATATCTACCACCCACTGCCCTCAACAACCAGTTCGCATCACCTGAGCACGCTTCCACCCACCAGGGGAAGTTCTGATAGCTGAGCGTGTCTGCTTCATGGAAGGAAATCAAATCATTCATAAAGGCAGCATTTTTATTCATATATCTGCTCTGATCTTTCTGATCTTCTTTTAATTAATTTATTTAGTTGGTCCCGGGGATTGAATCCAGCACCTTTGCACTGAGCTCCCAAACCCTTTATTTTACCTGATTTTTAAATTTTGAGTAAGGATTTCCCTCAGCCACTAAGCTGCCTAGACTGGGCTTGGATTGTGATCCTTTGGCCTCAGCCTCCCAGACTGCAGGGATCACAGGCATGAGCTTGATTTAACATTAGGGAGCATGGAAACTATTGCTTTATAAAAGAAGTCCATCGAGGCTTGAGATCACAAGAAAGCAAATCTGTGAATGAGCATGTCCACCTCCCGGGACAGCAATGTTCTCTCTTATCTCTGGCAGACAAAAGCCATCTTTGAGAGGTCAGTGCTTGCATAGCATGAGGTTGTAAGAGCACAAATCGGTCTCCTAACCCAAAATATCTCCATGTGCCGGAGTGGCAGAAATCTCACTCACAGAGCACAGTCCCCATGGCTGGCCTGGTTGGGGCCCCGAGGACTCCTCTCACCAGTCCATTTGTCACACACATCCTTCATCCTCTCAGGTTGAACGTTGACGACGAGTGAGAAGATGGGGTCATAAAATGTGCCCCTGTGGGATCTTCACGACTTCTCCCTTCTTGCCTTCCTGCCGCCCCGCTCCAAGTCTCCGTCTTATCTCACCTGGACCCTGTCTGAACTCTCCCCCTGCGCCCCCACTTCAGCCTTTCCATGTTCCAGTGTGCACAGAACCCAGCGTGTGCTTCCAAAAGGTATCTCGCATCATCTTGCTTAAGTCCTCTGGTGGCTCCCACCGTACGCAGAATTGAGTGCAGACTGTAGCCTGGCTGCAACACGAGACCTCTCTGAGCGCATCTCCTACCCTTGTTCACTAAGTTCCAGGTCCCCAGCTCCCCTCCCTGTTCCTGGAAGGTGCTAAGCTGCTTCCCCCAGGGCGTCTGCACTTGCTGCTCCTTCCGTCTGGAATATTCTTTCCACAAATTGCTCCTAGTTGGCCCATTTGCAGCACACAGACGAGATTAGATATTACTCTACAGAAACCTTCCCTGATTCTGGTGTCTAAGATTTCTGTACCACTTCCACTCAGTTCTTGGCCATCTCTGCTCATGCTGCCTGCTGGATGCCAGAGCCCAGCACACTGCTGGACACAAAAGAAGCACCCAGAAATCTGCGGGGTTCCTTCATGCCAAGGAAGACATAGGGCTATTGTAAAACAAGCTGAAAGAGTCAAAAGGTGAGGTAGAAGGTGAGCAGACGGTGTGGAAGGCCAGCTATTCACACCATGGCTACATTATGAGTTTCCTGAAGCTGCCAGAATTGTAAAGTAATCCACATTCCTCAAATATCTATGATAATTAGGCCAGTCATAATCTATAAAGTCAGGCAAACACTCACCAGCTATTGCATATGTTTTTTCAATTCATTATCTTTCTGTGAACTTTTAATTTACCAGCAAATAGAAGTCAGTACAGGCATTGGCTCTGTGTCTACATAAAGGCTTTTATGTAGCATATGGAATATAGAATACACTAGTCACATGCACAATTAGAGTGTATAAATATCTCCATGTCAACCTCACAAGGCTTGAAAAAACCCTCAGTGATAATGGTATAAATTATATTTTTGAGCACCTATTAGATGTAGGAGGTTGAGTTAAGCCCTCTTGGTGCATGCTATCTAGTAGTAAGTTACAAGTGCACAGCTGGTGGGGCTGAGAGCGTAGCTCAGTGGGAAAGTACTTGCCTAGCATGTACAAGGGCCTTGGTTCATTCCCCAGCACTGAAAAAAGTTCACACTGGATAGCAGATCCATTTCAGAGAGAGGGTTCTCTGAGGAGTGGGCAGGAAGTTCAGAAAGACAACTCTAGGGCAGTCTGCAAGGGCAAGGACAGCATGCATCACCCCACACCATGATGGACTGGTTCGTGGAGGCTGGGGGAGAAGAGGAGGGAGGGGCTGTGAGAGTCACTGCGAATGCAGTATATACAGAGCAGGGACTCTCTTGGGTTATGGACGATGAGGGAAAGAAGAACAGCTGGGGACACCCAGGCCCCTAGGGTGCACAACTAGCTATGATTCGATGGCCAAGGAGGGGCAGAAGCTCAGGATGAATCACTGAAAGAAGGCAATGGCTTGCTGGTGGCTTATCCAGGTGGAAATGTTCGTCTGGAGGACAAGAGAGGCTGGGATGGAGAGGTAGGAGCCCTCAGCACCCAGGCTAAACAGGAAGCATAGGGAGTGTGAGATCCCTCTGGGAGTGGGCAGAGAGCAGAGTGGGAGGGGTCGTGGATGGGATGGAGCCTCATGTATTATGGGTGAGGATGACCGGAGAGGAGGAAGTCAGGACAGAGGCCAGCTGACATGGGAAGGAGGAGAGACTGCTGTGCTTGCACCTGAAGATGGCCACACTCTTTAAACAGTTAAGAAGGAACATTCTCTTTTTTTTCTTTTCTTTTCTTTTCTTTTTTTTTTTTTTTTTT